GAATATCTCCGCGGATATCGATGCTACAGGAATAATTTACATATCATCTTGTAGCCAAGAACCAGGGCTTTCGATCTATCATAGAAACACCTTAGTAGAAAATCGCTTTCTGTCTCGTAAATTGCGACCAAAGTCAAAAAAATCGAATTTTTGGGCGTAAATTTCCGTGGGTCCCGTTTGTGTTACGGAAATTTACGCCCCGAAAAATTTCCTGATGAAATATTGGTTTAAGTAATTGAATATATTTTCAATTTTTTGCCATTCATTATCTTATATATAAAAAACTCCTAATTCCCAATTTTTTGTAATAAGAAAATCTAAAATACTTTTTATTCTATGAAATTTTTTTAACATTAAATAAGTACTATTCCATCAAGTTTCTACATCTAAATCAGGTTTTAATTCTGAAACCTTTTCAAGTTAACAAATTGTTCTTACTGAATCACTAAGTCTTGTTGATTAATGAATCTTTACTACAAAATCTCCAACTTTTTTTATAATAGGATCTGATAATTGCAGTCTATGTTGAACTGCAATATTTAAAATATGGGCTGCACAATGTTGATAAATAAATTCTTGATTTATTAATTTTCCTTTAAGTTCTCTAGCTGCTGTAGTCATAGATTGTGCATTATCAATTGTAATTCCTAATAATTTTTTAGTAATTTTTGCATTATCCAAAACTTGTAAAATTAATTGCTGAATTCGAACTGCTAAAAGTAATTCTGGAAAATATAAAAGATCAAGTAAAAAATGTTGTAATTTTCAATTATTATCTATAAAATGACCTGTAATATCAAGATATGATTGCATTGTAATTGAATTTCAAATATTACATGTAATTGATAATTTTTTTGTTTGTGAAGGTTCTTATAAAATTCTTTTTTTCATATTATTATAATTATCTATTATCTCTGATTTAATAGTTTGTCTACATGATACTTGATAATGTCCATCAAAAGTATTTGACATTGTAGTAAAATATGGATTATCTACAATAGCAAAAGAAAGTTGACAACAAACAATAAAATCTACAATTGTATTTGTGAGTTGTTGATATCGTTTCTCCAATTTTGCATATGGTTTAGATACAAATTTGTCTAAAGTACTTTGTACTTTTCCAATTTTACTATTGTGTTTTGTAGTTAGATGTCTTGAAAGTGTACCTGCAGTATTAGATGGTTTATAATGATTTTTACATATTATACAAATATATGTAATAATTTCTTGTTTATCATTATATTCTTTTGAAAAAAATTCCCAATCCCAAGAAGTTTCATGAGAAGTATTTGATAAATTAGTTTCATTAGATTTATTAGTTGTAGCTGTATTTGTAGTAGCTATAGTTGTAATAGTTATAGGTGTAGTAATTAAACTTTCATTATCTTCTTGATTAAAAATCAAACTAAGTTCACTTTCTTCTCTATTTATATTTAATAATGTTTCACCTGAATCATCAGGCTTACTATCTAAAAGTAGTTCATATAAATTTTCATTAATTTTTTGTTTTTTATTCATAATAAAATTCGCGAACAAAGAAATTGATTATCATTTTATTAATTAATTAGCCAATCAAATTATTAAAATAACTTGGAGCAACTCGGAGTAGCCTGGAGCAACCCGGAGCAACCCGGAGTAAAAATTATATAGTAAGTACAAAAAATTAGAAATCTTAACCCACTCCATAATGGAGTGATACTGTACATAACCCGGGTTGATGTCAAAACATTATGTTCCACTTAACAACCCTAATTAAAAATAATAATTATTATTATCGATAATCAATAATAATAATAATTATAAAATAAATTATCAATAATCACCGCCATCACCAATTACCACCGCCTCAATAATTATTTCCTCTATTATTTCTATTATTATTGCCTCTATAATTGTTTCCTCGAAAATTTCCCTTACTGTGGTGATTATGAAGTCAAAATTCGCTGGTCGGATCACGAATTAAATAAATATTCTAACTTAACTAAGTAAGTCATAAGTTACTACTTGAGTCATTACGTCAAAACATATTTTGGATACGTCACAATACGCTTTATGCATGGAAAATCCTTATAGATCGATTACATCCATTATCCAATCAGAACGTGCTATATAAAGTATAAAGGTTAAAGGTAAACAAACAAACGATAGATTATCATTGATTTTGAAAACGAAATTTTTTTTTTTTAAAAAAAAATGCTCGCTTTAAGAAATAGCTTGATACGAAATGTTTCAGCTCGCGTTTTACGACCTACTCTTCCCATAACAGTTACCAAAAAACCTTTAAGTTATTCCAAACCACTCAATCAAGAAGTTGGTGAAGAATATACAGCTACTGGTACTATTACACGTAGACCTTTGAAAATACGCAGAGTAAAAAGGATTGATGATTCAGTTGCCAAAGTTTCAGTGCGTATTTAAATTATTTAAATTAATTCAATTATTTAATTTATTTGTATATTTATTGTGTAGTTATATTAATTTATTTTTATACAATATAGCGTCCAGCACCGTTTTGGGAAGCCAAAGCGGTTTTTGAAGATGAAATTTCGCCTCTTTCACTTAATCACTTTGAAAAGAAATTTTTAGTAATGATATTCTATCCTTTGGACTTTACTTTTGGTAAAATAATATAAAAAAATTTACTCTGATATATTAGTCACATTAATATAACAGAATTTTGGATATTTTTTTTGTATATTATAATATATATATTAGTATGTCCTACCGAATTGACAGCTTTCTCGTAAGTTATTTCCCAAATATATATATATATAATAATAAATATAAAAATATACATTATTACATAATCTTTTAAATTAAATATTTTTCGTAATTTTCTTTTAATGGTAGAGATCGTATTAAAGAATTTAAAGAAATTAACACTGAAGTAGTTGGAATTTCATGTGATTCCGAACACACACATTATAATTGGAAGTTAGTTGAAATTATATTTTTATAAATTTTTTTGAATTTTTCTATGAATTTAAATAAAATTCTTTTTTAATTTAGTAAAATTCCACGAAATCAGGGTGGTCTTGGAAATCTCAAGTATGTTTTGGTTTATAATTTTAATTATAATTTAATTATAATTACTTATAATCATATTGTTATATATATTAATTAATTATTATAGATATCCTCTAGGTAAGTCAACTCTGATTTAAAAGTTGATATTCTTTAATGATTAAAAAAAATGGTTAATGAATTAATATTTAATTATTTTAGTTTCTGATTTTTCTAAGAGAATTTCGGAAGATTATGGTGTTTTGTGTGAAGATAAATCGTTTCCTTTTAGGTATTTATCATTTAAAAATTATTATTGTAGAGTATATTTTAAAAATATATTTTCTAACCTTATCATAAAATGTATTAATGCATTTTATTTTATTTTAATTTTATGTAGAGGAACAATTATCATCGACGATAAAGTAAACGCCCATATATATGTTTAAATATGTTTTCTAAGAGAATCTTTTTAATTTATAATTTCTGTTTTATTGTTTAGGGCATTGTTCGTGTAATTAATATTAATGACACGCAAATTGGTAAATATTTACTTTATTATTATTATAATTAATTATATTAATAATTTAATTATTATCAATTATTAATATAATTAATCATTTTTATCAATTATTTTTAAATTTCAATAGGACGCTCCGTAGATGAAGTTTTACGTCTTGTTCAAGCTATTCAATTTGCGAATCAATATGGTGAAGTTTGTCCAGGTACGTTGTGATTTGTTATTTTTCGATTTTCGAATTTTATTTTTATAAATAAATCATATATATAAATTATATATATATATATTTTTATATATTATTTTAGCAAACTGGAAAAAAGGAGATTCAACTATTATTCCTGATCAAGAAAAAGCCAGAAGTTATTTCTCTAAATTGAAATAACTTTTAAAAATCTTAATTTATTTTGTTTTTTGTATTTTTTTGTCAATAAATATAATTGTTTCTACTCGACTCGTTAAGTGATATTTAATTGCTGAATGATATTTACATTAATATACATTAATATCTACTTGCCGAGTAGATAAAAATAAAAATAAAAATAAAAAAAAATTATTAAAAATATTAAAATGAAAACTTTCGATTTTCGCGTAATGGATTTTTTGTTACTTTTTCAACTTCACGACATAAACTTTTTAATTCTGGATCATGTGGAATGTGATCACTTTTTTTCACATCCCAACAAATTTTTAGTGCTCCTTGAAAATCGTTATTCTCGATATATCCATTAATCAATATTTTAAATATTGGAATCGAAGGTTTAATTTTTTGTGAAATCATTTCTCTATAAAATCTTTGAGCTGTTTTTAATTCTCTCGCTTCAACAAATCCTAATATTAAAGTTTTAAAATATATCAATGTAGGTGTTATTTTTAAATATTTGATATATTCATAATTTTCTTTTGCTTCGTTTAAATTCTTTTGTTTAAAATGAAGTCTTAACATCATTCTATAAATTTTAATATTAGGAATTACACCTCCATTAATCATTTCTTTATATGCTATTTGTGCACCCATTAAATCATCAATAGATATTAATCCTCCAATCAATGTTTCATATGTATTAACATTAGGTTTAATTCCATATTGTTCAAAATTATTAATCATTCTTTTCACACTTTCCATATCTTTTCGTGCAAAAAATCGTGACAAAAGTGTGGTTAATGTTATTACATCAGGTTGAACATTTGATTGTTTCATCTCTTGTAAAATTTCCATAACCAATGAATCATTTTTATAATATAATAATCCTCTAATTAAAATATTATATGTTATTAAATTTGGTAAAACATTTCGTTTCTTCATTTCTTCGAATACCTTAAATGCTATTTCTCGACTATTATTCCAAAATAATCCATCAATAACTAAATTATATGTTTTTTCATTTACCGGAATTTCTGGATCTTCTAACATACGATTAAATAAATGCATGGCTTCCCGTTTTTTCTTTGCCTTAAAATATGCATTCATCATTGTACGATAAATAACATCATCTAATTTAATATTTTCTCTTTTAATTCTATACCATAAATTTTCTGCATCTTTAATTCTACCATCGTTAGCAAATGCCCAAATTAATCGACTATAAATTATTATTGATGATTGAATTCCTTGATTTGTAATATCATTTAATATGCGAAACCAATATTTATATCTTTTATTTTTAAAAAATCCTGATAAAAATATTCCATAAGTATGTTCATTAGGTTCAACTCCATATTCTAAAATTTTTTCATATAAAGAAAATGCTCGATGATTTAATCCTAATTTAAACAATCTATTCAAATGAGCGGTAAATTGTCGTGAATTAGGTTTAACTCGTTTAACAAAATTTTCTTTTAATACATATTTGGCTATATCTAATTCTCTAGGTGTTAAATATTTCTCTATTCGATATAAAAATCCGTCCATTTTAAAATGTCCCAAATAAATATTTTCTAATAATTTAAATGCTCCTTCTATGTTATCCCCTTTAATATATGCAGCAAAGAGATATCCTATATTCCGAGGTAAAACATCTACTTGTTCTTCATTATAAATTTTAATCATTTCTTGAAGATTATTGCTTTTTAAATAATTTGGAAATGAATCTTGTTTATATTTATTGATAATAAACGGAATTTGTTCAGGATCCATTTCTAATTTAGATTTCATTACACGTATCAAATGTTGTTGAACGATTCGTTCCGCCTCCAAAACTTCTTTTGAACTTAAATGTATTAAATTACTATTAAAATTAATTGCATCCTGGGGATTATTACAAAATTTATTTTGTTTTAAAAATCTCTTGGATTCTTCCATATCTTTCGATTTTATTAAATGTTCAAATTTGTTATATAATAAACGATTCTTATCATTATTATCATTATTATTATATGAAAGATTTGTATAATATCTATAAAAAGGTTCAATAACCATAAAGAATTTCCTCCGGTCCCTCAAATGAAATGTTGTTAATGCCGTTGGTTTTAAGAAAGTGGTTATAAGTATATCATCTTTTTTGAATTCATGATAAGTACAAGTACGAAACCCTCGCTTTTTAACATTTTTAATATTTTTAAAATTTTTTAAAGCAAGTGGATAAAATTGAGTTTTAGAACAAATAGTTTGTATAGCTTGCATTTTTCCATTTTGTGTTTAAAAAAAAAAGTTTATCAGCTATCTTATCCAATGACAATGAGTTAGATGTACATCGAACTTGAGATGAAAAATTATCACGTGTCACACAAGATTATCAGGAAAATGATGATTAGAAATAACAAGGCGGCGATTAGAAATAAAAAATAAACAACTAGGACGATTAATTAGAAATAAAAAATAAACAATTGCATATCCATTTATTTTGATCAACATAAAAATTAATAAAAGCATGAAAAGTATAAAAGGGGTCAATTATCAGTTATCTCCTCATTTTCCAAACTTGAGTCCTCTTTTTAAAAAAAGAAATAATAATAATAATAATAAGTATTCTCTCCAAAAGTAAATATTTATTATTACTATTATTATTTAATTAAAAATACCAAAATTTTCTTTTCTTGATTAAAGAGGAGAGAATCCCGTAACGAAATGTAAAGCGAATGCGACGAAAGGATTTCTCCAAAGTGATTATTATTTTATCTTTATGATTCTTTTATATAAATACTAACCTTCTTTTCTAAATCTAAAAGGTGAGAGGATCCGAAAACGAAATGACAAAGTAATAAACTCCCAAAAAAGGTAAACATTTATTATTATTATTATTTATTATTTGAAAATTGCTAAAGCTCACCAGTAGTGATTGTCACCACTGGGCAAAATTAAATTTACGTGGGCAAAGTTAGGGTTAGGGAATTATGTAATTTTGCCCGGCGGTGACAATCACCACCGGTGAGCTTTAGCAATATACTTATATATTTATTGAAAAAAAAAGAAGAAAAAGTAATAATAATATTCTTAAAATAGTGAGTGAAGGGAAGGGAAGAGTTGGTAATTAATACTTTTTTCATAATTATTTTCTCCTTCAAAAGCGGAAAATAATTGTGAAAAAAAGTAGTAAATTTTAAAAAGGGTGTCGAGGATTCAACTAGGAAGAAGGTGAGTGGGATTGTTGTATGGTAGGCAATAACTCCCATCTTCGGTAAGTTTTATTATTTTTTTTTTTTCATTATTTATATATTATATTAATTTATTATTAATATTATTTTATGTATTTATTATCTTTTTTTTAGGGCGCGGTAATGCCGTACTACTCACCACAGGAAAAGTTCTTCTTCCCCAAATTATACCAGTAAGATTTATTAATTATTTATTAATAATTAATTAATTTAAATAATTTAAATAAAATTTATTGTTTCTTCTTTAAAAAAAGTTTAGTATTTTATGGGATGGAAGTCCGGAGAATCCATTATAGTGTATGGCAAATCGTAATGGAGAGTTTTTTTATATTTCAAATTTTATTATTTTTATTTTTATTTTTTAATATTGAAATTTTTTAGAATTCTCTGGAACTTGGATTTTGGACATAGTGATGATGATAATGACAACGGCAACGACGACGATGATGATGACGAAAAACGGGAAGAAAAGGTATGGAGGTGGTTTTGGTGGCTATGTGATTATTTTGATGACCATATAGAAAGATGTTATTGTTTATGTTGGGAAAACTATGGCGGGTTTATTTGGTTATCGTTTTTTTAACTGAAACAATGAAAATATAAAAATGATAAAAAATAAAATAAATAAAATAAATCATATTGGAAATTATTTGTGAATAAGAATTTTATTGTAAAAAGTCCTATTAACATAAAATAAAATAAAAAAAATTTCTTTTTTTCAGTTACAAATATAATATGGAATTTTTATTAATTCACAAAATAAAAAAAATTAATTTTGCCAATATTCATTGTTAAATAAAATAATGATCTCAATGATTATTGTTAATGCCATTGGTTTTAAGAAAGTGGTTATAAGTGTATCATCTTTTTTGAATTCATTATAAGTACAAGTATAAAACCTTCGATTTTTGAAATTTTTATAATTATTAATTTAATCTTATCGTTGATCAAACTATATGGTGGTACGTTACATATAGCGCCGATCCTATTTCTAGTTTAACTGATTTAACTGATCTGATTTACACAAAAAACATAAGAGATGAAGAAATCCAATTATAATGTGTTCTTTTTTCTAACATACAAAAATGGTTGATGAACAAAAGATCGGAATTTTTGATTATGATGACGATGAACAAGCTTTACGTTCTCCTGTACCTATTCACATAATGAATGTAATGAATCCTACATTTAATTCTCAAACTCGATCGTCAACAGTTGGTTCGGCCTTTTCAATTCCTGCCTATGGCTCCTTTGCCTCTCAAGTTCAACGAGAAACGGAAAACAGAATAAGACCGAATAATTTACTTTATGGTTTAACAAATGAACCTGATTTTTGTTCATCCAACAACCTTTTTCAACAAGGATTACAATTTAGACCTATTGTGGTTAATAACAATAATAATAATAATAATAATTTGTTACGTAGTAATAATCCTACTTTAAGTTCCAATGACAATAATACACGATTTTTATTTCAAAAAATACAAAATGTATCACCTCAACCAGGTCCCAGTTTTACTCCATCATCATATATTACAACTCCTTCCCTTGTTCCTTCACCTACTTCCCATATACTGATGCCCTCTTTTTCACCCGAATTTCGTCGTCCAATTCCAAAAAGATCAATTCTTGAAATAGATAATAATAATAATAATAATAATAATAATAATAATAATAATAATATTTACAATAGTAATGATAATAATAATAATAATTCAACCAAAGATGATAATAATAAAAAAAATAAATTATCCGAAGAAGAAGAAGACGATGACAATGACAGCAACAAAGTTATCATGTTTGATTGGCATTTAAGATGTGTTCCTTTCCAACGTAATTCAAATTATCTTTCATTTCTGCCTGATACAAAAAAATGGATAGTTGTCGATGGTTTCATTAAGAAAGCCAATCAAAAGCAACAATGGCATTCGTCATTAATCGTAGATCGAATTAATAAGATCTTGATAAAAACTTCAAGTGGAAAATTATATAAATTGGAAGGAAAGTTATCCATTGAAAATATGTTAAGGGATGGATTTTCGCAAGAACTTTGTGAAAAATTTCAAGATGGATTTCCTGATAATTGGAAAGAAACATTATCATGTGAATTTTCGGATAATTCAAACCTTTCAAATATTTCAAATATTTCAAACCTTTCAAGCCTTTCAAATATTTCAAATATTTCAAATATTTCAATTGAGGATAAAAAGGAGTCGAATCTTTTTGAAAATTCAAAAGTTGATGATTCAAATGTTAATGACTTTAAAACTATGATATCTGATGGTGATGATGATGATGATGATGATGATGACGAAGTTCACATGCCAACCAATTTTTTGGAACCTATTGTCATAATACAAGGTACAAATAATACAAATTATTCAGATAGTTCAAATAATTCGAATAGTGGGAATAATGCAAATTATTCAGATAGTTCAAATAATTCAGATGGTGCAAATAATTCAGATAATTCAGATAATTCAGATACCGAAGTGCAACCGAAACTTTTTAAACTTGACGAGTTAACACAAGATGAACAAGATGAACAAGATGAACAAGATGCACAAGATATACAAGATGCAAATGCCGAAATTAAACCAAAACATTCTAAATCCGAAATTGAGAAAATAAAAACTATAACAACTAGTGCTCGTTCATCAAGAAATTCAAGAATCTCAGGAAATTCGAGGAATTCGAGGAATTCAAGAAATTCAGGAAATTCGAGGAATTCGAGGAATTCGAGAAATTCAAAAAATTATGCAGATATTGTGACAATAACTTCATTTGGTCGTCACGTTCGTAAACCAGGTTCATGGTGGGCAGTTAATCCAGTTAATCCAATTAATCCAGAACCTGAATAAAATAATAATTTGTAATAATAATATGTAATAATTGGAAACAACATATTTAAATGTATTTTAAATAATTATATATATATATATATATATATATAAATATATTTTTTGACTTAAAATATATATCCATATATATATATACTATATATGGTCATAGTAGACATGTTCCCGTTACACGAATTTTATATTAAGATTTTCCTTTGACTTTTAAATTATGTTTTGCAACCTTCTCTTATATAGTTATTGTCTTTTGAATATTATGTAAGATTCTTTTTTAAAATATAAATAACTCACTATTGAGGATAAAAGGGAAATTATTAAAGGTGACATAAGATCTGCGTAAATTTTGCCGCGTTGATCGGACATGTCACTGACATATTATACATATACATCTATATATATCTATTTCAGATCAGATTAGATAATGAATAATAATCTGATGATCCTTTCATTTATGAAATTACGCGTACCCATATTTGATATATATAGTATAGTTAAAAAAAAAAATTCATTAAAATTCATTAAAATATTTTTAAATATTGGAATATTATTAATAATAAAAAATATTATTATTATTAATTTTTATAATTTTATTAAATTGAAATCCGTACAAATTAGATTTTGGTATTTTGGTGTTTTGGTGTTTGATATTTTGATGTTTCTTCTAGGTTTTTTTTTTATTTTTTTGTTTCGAAAAAATTTGAATTTGAATTGCTATTTTCTCCCCCTTATTTTTTTTTAAAAAAAAGAATAAAAAAAATGAAAAAAAAATATTTACTAAAAATTAAATTCATCTAATGGATGTGTGTTGCAAACTTTTTAAATCCTCAATAATAAAAAGATATATTCTTTTTTGAACTATTTGTTTCATCATAAAGCTTACCATATTTAACGTTCGTTGTTATTTAATTGAAGGTTACGGTGAAGCCACATGTTCATCTGTTACCATAAAATCACCTCTCCATTCATTATTGTCATTATCATTATCATTATCATTACCATTATTATTATTATTATTATTATTATCATTATTATTATTATTATTATTATTATTATTATTATTTATGTTTGGAATAATTTTTGAAGAAAATTTTAGTTCTTTTAATAATGATTTATTTATATTACTATTATTATTATTATTATTATTATTATTATTATGATTATGATTATGATTATGATTATGATTATGACTATTATTATTCTGATGATTATAATGATGATGACGTGAATTGTTCTTATTTGGAAGAACCAAATCACCTACGCGATTAGTAAGATCATCAAATAAATCATCATCTTCAATTAAAGAAAGAAATTTTGCAAGAGAGCTGGCACCCGATCTAAGTGGAGGAAGCAGAAGTTCGTGATCATCCTGTTTGAATTGATATAATTGATCTTCTTGTTGTTGTTGTTGTTGTTGTTGTTGAAAAGTAGAAGAACTGACAGAAGAAAAAGAAGAAGATGGTTCATTCTTCTTTGTAGTATGGAATTGAATATTAATTGAAACGTGACCTCCCGATTCTAATAATTTTTCCATGGAATTTTCATATTTCTCGAGTTCTCGTAGTAATTCTTTATGCTTTTGTAATTCTTCAAGTCTTAAAAAATATCTTTCTTCAGGTAAAGATATGAATTGTTGTTGAATTAAATATTTCTATTATAATCATTTTTTTTTTTAAAAAAAAAAAAAAATCAAATGGTAATGAAAAGGTTGCAAATGGACTTTTTAAGTGGATTTGTAATTTTAAATAATAATAAAAAAAATAAAAAAAATAAAATAAAAAAAAATAAAAAAAAAATAAATTATCAAAATAAAGTTCTAATACAATTCTACTGTCTTTGTTACCATAGTTATGAAATTCCTAGCTGCAGCATCACTATTCTTGGTAATTATATAATGTAAAGGAATTAAACGATTGAGTTTTGCATACAACGGAATTAAATCAGCCATAATGTTTGAGTATTGTTTCTTTTGTCGTCTAGTAATATCTGTAATTGGTGTTAAGTTTGCTAAAAAGATGATGATGATGATGATAATAATAATAATAATAATAAATCCTTAATAATAATTAATTAAAAACAAGCAATTAAAGATGTATTGATTAAAAAAAAAAACTAATTCGATACCTTGCGAATTTCTTACTTCCATATCAATTTCGGCGACTCTTTTAATTGCTTGTTGTAATTGTGGGGCACTAATCGTTAATACAGTTTGAAAAGGAGCAGGTAATACGGTAAAAGGAACCGAATTATTTGCGGTATATTTATGTTTAGATACTATGGACATTATTAAAAAAAAAAAGGTGTTTTTTTTTTTTTTTACTTTTACACAAAGAGAGAAAAAAGAATTAAGAGAGAATTTCAATTTAGACCTTTATATTTATTTATTATTTATATTTTATATGATTTTTTGTGGTGACGATACAGATTAAAAAGATAACAAAATTTATTTTTATTATTTTTATTGTAATAATGAAAATCTAATAAATCTAATAAATTCAATAATAATAATAATAATAATAATAATAATAATAATAATAATAATAATGAATAAATCAAAAAAAAATACAATAAAAATAATAAATGGAATAACTATATCAAAAAAATCTAAAATAAAAATGGGGATTACCTTGATCGAACAATAGCTGTGGGTACTTAATACAATAAAATTTTGGGAAAGTGGCGTTTGTTTGACTCCTTGATGGTAATTTTTTATTGGTCGATCAATTAAATATCCCATAATCTAAATCATGTCATATCATGATCTTAGATAATCCAGATTTAGATAATGGAGGAGTAATTGTTAGTAATAGTTAGTAATTAGTTGTTGTTTAATGTATAGTGATTTGATTTGATTTTTAATTATTAATAATAAATATTTTTAATTTAAATGAAATTAATCAAAATTTTATCGAAAATTAATCAATTATCAAAAAGAAGTTTTCCTTCTCCTTATCCTATTTATTCTTTATATTCTTTAAGAAATAATAATATAGTTCGACAACAACGACAAAAAATATATTCTTCTATACTTCTTAAAGTTAATAAAGTCAAGAATAGAAAATCAAAATTTATATCAACAAAAATTATTTCAAATATCAGACAAAACGAGCAAAACCAGGATAATCTAACGATAAAAAGAGTGACAAATCAAGTAGTAGATCAAGTGAAACAAATGATACATCAACAAAAATTATTAACGGAAATCATAAAAAATAATAAAATCGAAGATCAAATTAAATATCGAATTAATATTAAATTTAATGAAACCGAATTAAAGATATGTAATTTATTAAAAGAAGTAATTGAATTTCTTAAAAAACAGGATCCAGAATTACCACCAGTTGAACTTCGAATTGTTGGTGGGTGGGTTCGTGATAAAGTAAATAAATTTAATAATTAATTTAATATTTAAAAATATTTTAATTTAAAATAATTAATTTAATAATTAATAAGATATAATATTTTAATTTAATAATTAATATTATAATAATAATAATAATAATAATAATAATAATAATAATAGTTACTAGGTTACGAATGTAATGATATAGATATTGCGATAGATAGGATGATGGGATTTGAATTTTGTAATAAGATTAATGAATATTTAACCTTACAAGGAGTAGATTCAAGTAATATTCATAAGATTGAATCAAATCCGGATAAATCAAAACATTTGGAAACCGCCACAACAAAATTATTTGGGAATGAAATTGATTTTGTAAATTTAAGAAACGAGGAGTATAATGATTTTAATAGGATCCCTGATAAAATTGTGAGGCTTATATTATTATTATTATTATTATTTATTCACTAATTTTTATTTAATATATACTGATATATATTAATATATACTGATATATATTAATATATACTAATATATACAATAATATATACTTATATATGTAGATACACTAATCTATATACTAATTTATCTATTAATCTATATTTGTAGACATTTGGAACACCAGAGCAAGATGCATATCGTAGAGATGCGACAGTAAATGCTTTATTTTATAATATAAATACTGATGAGATCGAAGATTTTACAAAGAAGGTTTTTATATATATATATATTAATTTCATAATTATTAAAAATTGATAAGAAAAAAAAAATTTAATAAGTAAATAAAATTAATAAATAAATAAAATTAATAAATAATAATAATTAACACATAGGGAATTCCAGATTTAATTAAAGGAATAATCAGAACACCACTTCCTGCCTATGAAACATTTAGAGATGATCCATTACGTATAATAAGATTAATTCGATTTGCTAGTCGATTTCATTTTGAAATTATAGATGATATTGTGAATTCCGTTAAAGATGAGAAAATTAAAGTAAACATTATTTATTTTATTACTTATTATTGTCGCTGTGAAATTAATATAGATAATTTTTATTTTTGGGAATTAAATAAAAGGAAGCTCTTAAGTTAAAGATAAGCCGTGAACGTTTCGGACAAGAATTAAATAAAATGTTTAAAGGTAATAATTCATCAAATATGCATATATATATATGCCTCACTTTATTATTATTTTGCAGAGTAAAGTTTGATTATTATTTATTTTTATTATTTGTTGATCATTATCATTTTTTTTTATTTAGGACCGGATCCAGTTTCATCCATAGAACTCATTTGTAAACTTGGATTATATGAAATAATCTTTTGTCCAATTCCCGATTATACTCAAATAAGGAATTTGGGAAATTTTGATGATGTGATTAAATTTGCTAAAATAATGAATTGGTAACAATAGTTATAAATAGTTATTTATATTGATTTATTTATATAAATTTGTTTATATTTATATTTGTTTATATTTATTTATATTTATTTATTTATATTTATTATTTATATTTATTTATATTTATTTATATTTATTATTTATATTTATTTATATTTATTATTTATATTTATTTATATTTATTTAATCTGGCTATTCCCAGGATCTTATCAACTTTAATAGGTGATGATGATATTGATAACAACCTAAATAATAACAATGATAGTAATGATAATAACAATAGTAGTTGTAATAGTATTGATAATAATAGTAATAATAACAATAATAATAATAATCATATTGATAGTAGTAATAACGTTTTGCATCTTTACCCCAAAATCCCATCTCAACCTTTCCGAGATATCAAAATACCTTATCTAACTTCATTATTGATACCTTATAAGAATGTTCAATATCAAGAGATAAAGGCTCATGAAAAGAAAGAAATAAATGAAAACAAAAGAAGAAAGATGGAAGAAATGCCTGCTATTCGTTATGTCATTAGAGAAAGTGTTAAGGTATTATATTCGGAATAATTCATTATTAATTAATTATTATTAAATAATATTTATTATTAACAATAAATAAATAATTTTTATTTTGTTTTTTATACTATTTTAGCTTTCAAATGCGGACAATGAGATGGTGGAAAAATTAATTAATAATATTGATATTATAATGGATAAAGTTAAAAAAAATGAAGAGATAATATTGGATAGAAAGCCTATGGGTAATTATTATTATTATTATTATTATTATTTATATCTCACTTACGCGTTACGTTGGTATAAATTATAGGATTATTAATTCGTGAATTAAAAGACAAATGGTTAAACTCGATTATAATCACGTTGGCATATGAATTGATGCCAGAATTTGATAACATTCAAAAGGAATTATGTAAGTTTATTATTATTATTATTATTATTATTATTATTATTATTATCTATTTATTTATTTATTTCAATTATTATTATTATTTCGATTATTATTTATTTCAATTTCTATTATTATTTCATCTTATTTATTTATTTTATTATCTCAATAATATTAATTATATTAAATATATTAATGATTATATTTGATCACTGTTTTAGGGGATAAACCTAATGAAATTATACGTAAATATAATAATTTTATTTCTCGCATATATGATTTGGGTTTACAAGAATGTTATGAAGAGAAACCCATTTTGAATGTATGTCTTTTTCTTTAATTAATTATTCTCTATCTAATTCATTAAATTATTAAATTATTATTAATTCATTAAATTATTATTAATTCATCAAATTATTATTTAGGGAGGTGAAGTGATTAAATTATTAAATATTAAACCAGGTATAATTATGAAACAAATATTAAATTCAGTAATAGAATGGCAATTAGAAAATCCTAATGGAAGTAAAGAACAATGTGAAAAATATATAAAAGATTTACCATTACCATCTACTGATAAATCGATAAATTAAATTTGAATCGATGTCTTTACTTATGTTACAAATAATTTATTTATTTAATAAAAAAGTATCGTAGTAATTTCTTTTATTATTTTTATTATTAATATTAATTTATTTAATAAAAATTATCAAAAGTAATAAATTTATATTAATTTATATCTTTTAATTCATCTTTTTCGTCTTGTCACTAATTGAAATCCTTCTTCATCAATAATTGGTTCATTTCTTGTTTTGGTAGGTTTGTCTATAACATGATCTACTTCCATTTTATCCATATCTCCATCTTTTTCTTCTTCTTCATTACTATTACCATCTTCACTATCATCTTCACCACTACTACTAGAATTATCTTCTTTATTTCCATTACTAATCCCTCTTACACTATTACTTACATTTTTAGTGGAATGTTTTAATCTTAACTTTTCTACATTAGAATAATTTCCTTGCATACATTCATTATATAATTTTATCAAATGTTGAGATACCTATTTATCAATATCATCAATATTAATATTATAATATTATCAATATTAATATTATTCATATTAATAATAAATAATATTATTATTTAAATAAATACCTGCCTGATAAGCAGAATCATCTTCCAATGAAGTATTAAATTCATCTACCATTATTTGATCCAAAATAGATTCCAAATCTTCTACATATGGTTCTTTACCATTATCTATATTATAAAAGTTTAAAAAATTATTATTATCTTATATTATTATTCTTGATTTTTATAAATTTTAGAATTAATTTTAATAAGTGAAATTTTTTAATAATATAATTTTAATTAATTTTTATGAATGAATCAAATCAAAATCAATTAATTACTTTTTAGAAAATGATCTATCACCACATTCATAAACCAATCACATTTATCAGAAGAGTCTATTCCACCCCATTGCATTTCGACTGCAAGTTTTAAAGCAGTCCATGAATTAAATATAAATGTTACTGCTTGTTGAAATTGATGAATGGATTCTTGTTGTTGTTGTTGTTGATTATTGTGAGAATTTGAAGAATTTGAAGAATTTGTTGATGTTTTTTGTGATGACATTTTCTTAATTTAATAATAACTGTTATTTTTTTTTTATCTTTATTTTTAAGAAAATTTTTTTATCAAAATCAACAAAATTCGAATTTGGGTAATTAAAAATTTGATTGGTTAAAAATATCTTTGATTGATTAAACAAATAAAATTTTGATTCAGAACAAACATGAAGAACAGGAAGAACATAAACGTGAAGAATACGAAAAAAATTAATAATAATAACAATAGTTGTATTAATAGTAATAAAGGGGAACCAGAAATAATAACATTTGATGGTTCTTTTCTTAAAAAGTCCAGTAATAATAATAATAATAATAATTATAATAATAATATCTCTACAAAAACATCGTCTTCTACTTCAGTTAGTGGATCAAACATTTATGAATGGAAAGCTTTTATGGTAATTTTCAATTTATTTATTAATTAAAATTATTTTATTATAAATTAATTATTTAATTAATTAATTAAATGAGTTTATTAATTAATTACCAGTCTCCCAAGATATCAAAAATAAAAGATAATGAATTGAATTTATTAAAAAGAAATGATAAGGAAGAAGAAGAAATTAAAGAAGAGGAGTAGGTTTATCAAATTAATTATTATTATTCATTATTTCATTATTCTTTATTTATTAATTTTTATTATTTATAATTCATTTTTATTATTAAGTATAATTCTTTATTATTAATTAATTAATTAATTATTAATTTAGAATAAACAAAAAGAATGACAGAGAACTTGAAGAATTATTAAAAGCCACTAAATTATTGGAAAAATATAGTAAATATTTATTTACAATGATTTTTCACACATTTCTTCATTCATTTATAAATTCATCAAATTCATCAAAATTTATATAATAGCCGCTGAACAATTAACTGGTAAACAACGTAGAAAATATAATGATGGAAAATTAATTGAATTAGGTGCAAAGGTAAATTTAATTAATTATTAATAATAATAATTTAATTTAATAAAAATTTAACAATTATAATAATAATAAATTTACATATATAAAGCCTGATAATAGAGGTAAAAAAGTTCCAACACCAATTTCATTAGGAATGCAAGTAAAACGAAAAGAAAAAGAACAAAAAGAACTCGAAGAAGTAAATATTTAATATTTTTATATAATATTTATGTATAATATTTATATATTTATAATATTTATTTATTTTATTAAATAGGCAAAAAATCTTGGATTATATCATAAATCAATTAAACATAAATGGGCAACATCATCATCAACATCACCTAACAACCACAAAAACAACAATAATAATATCAATAATACTAATATTATTAAAAATAAATTTAAAAAAGATAAAGGTATAGGAATAGGAATTGGAAAGATTAAAAATGGGATATTAACATTAAGTTCTAAAGATATTAAAAGAATTGAGAAAACTAATAACAAAAAAGGTGGTAAAAGTGGTAGAAGTAATGGTAAAAATGGTGGAATTAAAAAAAGTTATGGGAAAAAAAATAAATTTAAAAAATAACAAAAGAATATTTATTTATAGAAATCACTTATAATAATTGAATAATTTAAATTATAATTGTATAATAATTATTTTTAATATTAGTTTAAAATTATAATAAATTTAAAAATTTCACATTTAAAAAATTTTTTTTTTTGAAAGTATCCTTTATTTCATTTCTATTTATTATATTTTATTTCTATTTATTATTTTCCTATTCACATTTTTATATTTTATTTATTTCTATTTATTCATATTTTAATTATTATTTAAATTTTAATAACATGATTTCATCATATCACAATACCTTATACCTTGAATAATCATTCTACTTCCAATTTGTCCATTGAACATGTTTTCTCTATCATAAACATAAATCAATAAATTAATACATTTATTTATAACATAATATATAATAATATATGAATGTAATAATATGTAAATATTATTTTATTTTTACCTATCTTCAAGAATTTGTACAATCTCTTGGAATATTGTCTCGGCGATTTCAGATTTCCTAAGTTTATTTTCTATTCGAGGAATTTGTTTATTCATAAAAGTCTCTTCCAGGGATTCCATCATATCTTTTTTTTATATATACACGCACAAAAAAAAATATTATTATCAAGGATTATTAAGGAGAGATTTTAGTGAAATCAAAGATGTTACCTTTGAACTTTTCTACTGAATTTTGTATATCACTCGTCGTTTTTTTATATATCGATACAGTTTTATCATCACGGTTCATTCCATTTATTTGTATCACCTTTAACAAATTATTTGCTATATAAATATTATAATCATAATAACTTATAAATATAATATTTTGATAAATCATTTAAAGAAATATTATTTTTATTTTTTTTTTTTTGATATTTCTTTTACCCATATTTTCCATCTGATTATGACACGTTTGAATGTTTTTGGTCAAGTTATTGCGTATCAATTCGTAAGCAAAATCTAAATAACAAATGATAATAATTATATTATTATTAAATAATAATTCCATATATATATTTGGAATCGAATAAATCTAATATTATACCTTCGAATTTTAAATCGGCTACGGTTTTAAAGAAAACGTCAACATCCTATTATGTGTGATGAATGTGGTGATATGTGAGATAAATAGGTAATATGTGTAAAAATTACCGACAAGATTTACTATACTTGAAGATACCTACTAAATACTTTGGGCATTGTATGATATTCTTAAATTCTTTAAAAAGCTTTTCATCGCGCACACGATAAATATCGAGAGAATTAACAATCCTTAGATTACTATTATCATTATTAAAAAAAAAAATTTCATTATTTTGTTAAAATTGTCACATAACACGCGCGCACACACACCTGTCAATTTTGACCTGTAAAGCCAATTTCAAATCTATATTATTAAACTGTTCATTCTCTTTTAACATCGTACAATCAAGATCTTTTGTCAAAGTATCAAGATGTTTACAGAAAGGATAAAGATCTTCTCGCATGAATTTTGTTATCTATTAACAAATAATTAGTTAGAATTAAATAAATAATAAAATAAATAGAATTTAAATTAAATTAGAATAAATGATTAGAAAATCATGAAATATTTTTTTACCTCATTTGACTGTTCTATGAATTTTGTCTTTGTATGTTGATTAATGAAAATTTGTCGTTGAATTATATTTTGTTTTTGTTCCTACGCAACAACAAAAAAAAAAAAATTTTCATATTTTTCGATAATAAATAATGCATTATATCACGAAAAATATACATATTATGAAATATAAAAATAGATGTGATAATTACAATTATTTTATTCGAATTAATAACTTGATCGCGTAATATCATTAACTGATCCCTTGAAATATTACTCAATTCTTGATATCGAGATTCCAATCTTTGGGTATGATGTAACATGATATTAAGTGCCGCTTGAATAGCTTCCGATTCTGCTTTTTTTTCTAATACTAATCTGTTTTGTAAATTTCATCATATCTAAAAGTTTAGAATTTAATTTATATCAAATAAAAGAAAAGAAAGAGAGAGATAGATAGATAGATGACAAGAAGTAATGAAAGAAAAAAAAATGATAATAATAATAACAATAATAATAATAATAATAATAATAATAATAATAATAATAATAATAATAATAATAACAGGTAAAGAATAACCATAGTAAAAAGTAATGAAGAAAGAGATAATAATAAATATATTTACATACATTACTTGATCCATCATATCAGGAGCATGTCGTTTTAAAAATAATCTAGTTGATTCGGTGGTTTTGTGTATTTGTTCCTTGATTCCCATGATATTGTTTAATATTGATTCAATCTTTATAAATCTGGACGCATGATTTACACGAAAATTCTTTATAATAATATAAAAGAATCATATAATGAATCATATAAGAAAGGTCATTAAAAAGATTACATAATAAAAATCAAAATTATAAATTATATACTTGTAATATAGGTTGAATTTGGTTAGACATTTCTACAAAAATTGAATTCATTTTCTTGATAGATTGCTCTGATCTGAAACTATTTAACAATAAAAATTTTTATTGATTTAGAGAGAAGAAAAGAAAAAGAAAGAGAAGAAAGATTAAATAGATCAAGATAAAAATAAAATAAATAAAAAATATACTTTGATTCTTTCATTGCAGATTCCATCACGAATGAAATAGATTTGAATAATATATTGGGTGGGGTTTTTTTTAGCAAATCCTCCATCAAAAATCGAATATTGGTTTTGGTTCCATTATTAGAAAAAGATTGACTAATAATGATAATGAAATATTGTAAATATTGTAAATAAATAAATATCATAATTATGAAAAATATTGTAATAAATTACAAGATCTAACAAACAAACCTAAGTATCATTTCCTGTACTAAAAGTTTCAGTTTATCACAGATATTCTTGATCTTAATCTTGTGTATATATATATATACAATATAAAAAATTCTTTATTTCTTTTGCATATGAGAATAAATATAAATTTATAAATATATATATATCCTTACTGTCAAAGTGGTTTCAATGCCTTTCAATGCAAAACTGATAAATTTATTTTTTATAAAATTAGATAGATAGAGAGATATATATATAAGCACCTTGTAAAAGCAATCTTGAAAAAATGAATCTCAAATTTAAAATAATTAAAAAAAATTACTCTGTTTCATTTCTCATCCCTGTCCCTCCATTCTCAGTCCTTTTCCTCACGATTTTATATTCTTCAAAAAGTTTCCCATATTCAATTTCTTGATTACCAAATGATCTACAATTTTCACGAAACATTTCCTTCATGTATATTTTATTTTCTTTCTCACGTATTTCTTCTTTAACTTTTCTGATATGTGATTCTTTAAAATAAAATAAAATAAAATAAAATAAATCAATTAATTGGATTGAAAGAAGACTCCTTTTCCTTGAGAATTAGATGATAATTAATTAATTAATGATTTGATGAGAATTTACCAATCTCAGAAATTTGTGAAATCATTTGTTTCGTTTGCATTTCACCTTCTTCAACAATTGCTAATGTTTGAGCTAACTTTTTTTCTAATTTCAATTTATGTTGAATGTTACGTCTTGATTGATGATGAGTTTTTAAACTTTGTTGCTGTTGTTGATGTTGAATTCTATAAGTATAAATATTATATTACAAATTTAAATAAATGATCAATTAAAAAGAATGTCGACAGCTGCGCCACGAATCAATAACTTACGCGACTTTTGATTTCTTATACTGAAGAACTTCTCTGATAGATAGAAATTATAGAAATTGTAATATCATCACATTAACAATAAATAGCAGTAAATATAAAATGATAACACTTGATTTTGAATGATAAATACTTTGAAGATTTTATGTGTTCCATAAGAAATTTGAAAATAGACGCAAATTCATTATTACGACAAAGTCTATAAAGTGAATTTTTAAATATTTTATTCAATAATTACAATATACGTATATATATATATATATATATAGGGAGAGAGGCACATATACAATTTGAATACTTGCTAAATAATTACTTTTGAATTTCTTCTTTTGTCAAGTCACTTTCATTTACTTCGTCAACTAAAGAACCACACTTATGGCGATATCCAAGATCATTTTTTAACCAATGTAAAACTGACTCGGGTGAAATAATATTTTTGTCCACGGTTCTCTTTGAAAATTTTGTCTGAGAATGCGATTTGAAACTTAATGAATTCATTCTCTTTATTCTCTTTTTAATGAATACGTATTACAACTTAACGCGTATTTTTCACTAACGTGTCATCTTGTATCATCTGATGGACAATGTGATGATCAACTCGTGTAACCATGGTTTTTTTTAGTTTTTTTTAATATCTTTCTGCGAAAGCTTGGGAAACTCGATATTTTATATTGAAAAAGGATCTTAACAATAAGTAGTTTTGAGAATATAATATCCAAAAGTTAATAATTCAAAAAAGACCTATTTAAAATTTGAACTATGGTTAATATGTGATGTTGAACATAATTATAGAATGAAAATGTGAGAAGGATACAGTTTCACAAAATGATAAAAGAGAAGATTTATGGAGTAAATTCCATTTATGATATGATTATAAAAGAATATACTCATCTGAAATTTACTACTAGTTATTCTTATTACAATATATTACAATATTTCACTTATAATGTTAATTTGTGATGAACATAAACCTGAAATCATGGTGCATGTCAACGTAAATTATTTTTATAATAAAAAAATTTGTGTCACTATAATTTGGATATTTCATCTCTAGTTGAACTTGAAAAAATTCTTATATATTAAAATTGAACACATCTATCATTTAATTGATTTTCTTTTGACATTTACATTCATTTATTATTCCATTACTATTTTTTTCCTCTTCTTCTATATACAGTAATGGCTATAAGTATTTGACCTCCCTAATTTTCCCACAGATAAATAAATTTAATAAATTTTTTTTTATTATTAAAAAGTAGACAAGTAACAATAATAATTAATACATTGTATAATCTCCATTTGAATCTATAAGTGCTATTACATGATGTTTCATACTATCTACCAATTTTTTAACAAGATCAGATGAGAAATAATATTATTCCTTTACTAATTTACCCTTAAACTTTTAACTGTATTGATTTTTTTTTTTGCTATATTTATTTTTATTACCACCAAACATTTTCTATTGGATTTTGATCAGGTAACATTGACGGCCAAGGGAGTATTTTAATTATACATGTTCTCAAAATTGATTTTGAATTTTTGAGATATTTTGACTTTTTGAGATTTATGCAAAATTTATTCTATATTACAAAAACCTATAAAAGTACTAATAATTAAGTGCTATATCACACTTTATACCTGGGAAATTTTAAGAATTTTTATAATATAATATTTGTCAATATTAGGAGTTAGATACTTATGACTACTACTGTATGTGAAACTTGACTTTAAAAATGATTCTTTTTTAAGATCTTCTTAAAAGTAAAAATAAGTATACTTTATTAGTAACAATAATATATGTATTTTTAATGGAGGAAAAAAATTTTCTAAGACTACAAAAATAATTATTTAGATAGTTTTTACACAAAATATGAAAAAAAAATTTTTAATAAGTAAAATTAATTTTTATTATTATTATAAATTTTTTTAACTAAAAATAATTTTATAATCAAGTATATTAATAAAATAAATAATTTTTTAAAGGTATATATTTAAATAGATTTTGTAATAATACTTGAAGTAATAGTTATGCAAATTATAAGATACAGTATTAAGGATATTTTTATTTTATAATATAATAAATTTTTATTATTTAAATAAAATAATTTTTACATTAAAGATTGATATTATTATTAATTTTTTTTATTATTATGTCTAAAGTTCTCAATCAGTTTGATAAAAACTGAAACCGAATTGTTAGTTTCAGTTCAGTTCAGTTTTAGTTTATTAAAATACAAACCAAATATCTTAGTTCAGTTTGATTCAGTCTTGGTTTATTCATAGAAACTGAACTGAAAAATTGAAACTAAAATTGATATATTCAGTTTGTATATTAATTTGATCATCATGGTTTCACCATTTATTTATATTAATAAAGATCTAGATTTTTTTTAATGATTTTTTTTTTAATAATTATAATAGTCGAGATTATAAGTGATACTGAATCAAAAAATTTTCAAGAAAACATAGATGATAATGAATTATCAGTTTCAAGAGAAGTCAATAATAGTAATTTAACAGAAACAAGTAATAGCAATTTAACAGTGATTAATAACACTGGTCAAAAATTGATAAAACATATATATATTGGGTACCTGATATGTGCATGGTATGTCCTTAATATCGGGTGTATATTGGGTACCCGATATGTGTATGTTTTATCAATTTTCGACCAGTGTAATAACAACAATAATAGTGATAATAGTAATAATAAAAAAAAGCCTCTATCTATTAGTTTTTTACTTTAAATAAAAAAGAAAATAGATATTATTGTGATCATTGCATGTAAGTATTAAGGAAAGATATATGCATATAATATTTTTTTTTTTTTTAAAGTTTCAGCAAGGCCTTGTTCCAAATTTATTTATTAAGAAAATAGTAATTTTTTCATTATTACATGCATCAGGAAATTTTTTCTAGTGAAAACCTTCGAAAGTTAACGTTAACGTAAGTATTTCGCTATTTTTCGATATGTT